GCTTGTTTTTCCCACTTTCCCTCCACCATTGCTGAAGTAAATCAGAAGCTAATTCCCTGCGCCAGCTGATTAATGACTCCCAGTCCTTCTCATCCAACCTCCGCATGCCTCACTTCTCTGTGGAGAGTGGACCCGCTGCTAGCCAGGTCCTTGTCATGGGACCCGATGACTTCATTGTTGCAGTCGTAAGGTAAAGGATTTAAGTCTTCCCTCCATACAGTACTCAGAGGGTGGGAGCTGGGAGAAGAAAGCAGGTTCAACAGGACAGGATGGGGCCAGACCTGAAGAGCTGGGCTGCTCTGTCCCAGTTAGTCCTGCAACAGGAGAAACGGGGAGGACAGAATGGAGATGCGTGAGCCAGTGCTGCTCTGCCCTGTGCAATCCTGCAGCCCTCTCGCAGCAAGATGTGTCTGGATTGTCCTGAATCTGCTCCCTGGAGGAGAGGCAATGGCCAAGTCTGAGGACTGACACGGGCATGGAGACAGATCCATCCCCTCGAGGGGAATCCTGAAACGCAGGGAGGGACAGAGCTGCTATCGCCCACATGTCCCTGCTCATGTGTGCAGGGAGACTTTCGCTTCTCGCATCTCACCAGCCCTAAAGAGGTACCAAAGAGTCTCTGTCAAGCTAAAATGGGACAGAACGTGGGAGCCCTGGAAGCCTTGAGGTGTACAGAAGTCTCTGGGAGGATTTTCATGAGATTTCTTCACTTTTTTTTTCAGTTCTTTGAATCGTCCCTTTGGCAGTGGAATAATAACACCCTCTGGAGTCCTCTTGAACAGCCAGATGTTGGACTTCTGGCAAAATAAGACAATGAACCACTCCATTCCCAGGCCGGTAATGAATGACCTGACAAATTCTTTATTTGAGCTGTCTGTACCATTTTTTTTTCCAATTTTCTTCTCATCTCCACAACAGGGAGGCTATTTAATGCCTTATTAATAACTAAGAGACAACAGTGTAGAAAGGTCCTAGTTTTTCATTATACGAGCCACTGCAACAGCGTAAAGAGATAGCTTCATGTGCATCGGTTATCATAACGCAGTTTTATTGAAGGATGCTGCACATCTCAGCTACCTATTTTCCCTGTACTCCAGATGCGCTCTAAAACAACCGTCCTTTTCTGTGGGTTTGAATTAAAGACCCTCTCTATGAATTGCTGCTCTGCAGGTTTATAAATAACAAATAGCAGAAAAAAAAAATCTTCAGACCTTAGAAAGAAGCAATTGTAGACCAGTACCGGTGGCTTCCAGGGCTGCCTTGTTGTTTTTTCTTGCCATCTGTTGTGAAACCATCCCACTTGGTGGGGCTGGTACTGTAGAGAAGGGTGGATGGCTCCATAAACTTTCTTTAAAAAAGAGCCAGGGTGCGAAACAGGACGCATCCTGTTAACATCAGAGAGCGTTGTCGTAGCAGTGAGGACATCAGCCCTGTAAAACTGCACAAGTGCAATGGCTGGCTGAAGCATAAAGAGTAAGGAGTGAACCTGTGCAACCCAAGTGCCAGCAAAGCCTTGGTCGGCTGGTTGATGTTTTTTGGTGTGTCTTTTCTTCAACTGCAGCAAAATCTCATTCAGCCTCGGAAACGGCCCCTGTCTTTCCTGTTGCCCACCATCGTGAGACCATCTGAGGGGATGTGTGGGACGTACCTATGTCTGGGAGCTAACAACGGGGACAGAGCCCTGAGCGGCATCGTTCAGGTCAGTGCTGTGTCCTCAGGATTACCAGGTCAGTCTTCCACGTCACCAGTTCCACACATTTGGTTTTTCAAATCTCTGAGAGCCTTCTCTGAGAGAAGTTTACTTCTCTCGCGCCTTTCCTGGTGGCACTGCTCATAATTGTAGAGGAAAAGCATCTTGGCAAACTCTGTAATGGTTTTGTGTCATTCTAATACCTGCTCACAGTTCACCTTGAGGATCATTAGGGAAAAAAAAAAGTAGCATTTTGTATTCAGAAAATTGCAGGAGACCGGCAGCCATTTAAGCCCTGTTCCCTGTGAAAGCTCCTTCCGTGCACTCCCAACGGAATTCGTCCCTGCTCAGCACTTGCTGTAAATCAGGCAGCTCCTCCTGATTATGATTTGTAACGAGGTGAAGTGCTTGCCAATAGCTTGACGGCATGCACAACAGCAGTAGATTGCTAAAAAGAATGGCAGAAGAGTGGCTCCCGCTCCCCTGACCTTTTGGAAGACATCATTGAGAGCAGATCTAAAGCCAACCATTGCTCCCTAATGCTTTGTTTGGAGGAGTCACATGCTGAGCTTTTGGCTGTAACAAGAACATATTTAGAGGTTACGTCACGTTCCAGACCCACAACTCTCCTAATTTAGCAGGAGCTATGTAACAAAAACCCCCCTGCAATGCTGAAGAGGTACTGCTTTTCCACCAGCAACATATGGGCCATGTCTCAAGGGCCTCTTCCTACATGCAAAACCCCGCATTAGTTCATGCAGTTTGGTAAAGGGTTCAAAATCTTTGCCTGCTGCATCTGCAGATGCTGGAGCCACCAACTGGGGGATGCTCGGGAAGTTGGCTTCTCCTGTTCTTGTTACTTTTCCTTGTTATTGAGGATCTTTTATTCTCTTGCAGGTTTTGGTAAATGTTTTAACATTTAACAAGAATCTGAGTGAAAGTTTGTCACTTGGTCGACTTCACCCACAGCTTCAGTCCAACACCTTGCAGGTTGACAGTGAGTATGGATGCTGGGGGGGTGCAGCCTGCAACTCTAGCATGTTTGGAAAAGGAGCAGGATTTCATTAGCTCGCTGCTGCAGAAGTGGGACAGCCCAGCGCACGCTCACCGTGCTCAAGGGCCCCCAGTGGGTGGGGAGCGTTCTGGGGAAGACAAAAAGGAGCAACCCTAGCTTCTTCGAAGCTTGGAGCCCTTGCTGGGCCATGCCCCTCCGCCACCACACGTCCCAACTCTTTCAGGTGCTTCTCCCCAACTCTCCCCCTGTCCCAGCTCACCTCCTGGTAGCAGCCTTGTCCTGTCCTTAAAACCTTTTGGTCATGCGATGCCATTGAGGATATCCAAAGAAACAAGTCTGCAGTCACAGCTTTACCTGGACAGGCCCTGAAAGCCAGTAGATCTTCCTAGGCTTTGTTACCATTGCCATAAATGCTATCCTCTCACTTCCCAGTCCTTGTCCCTTAAGTCCACCAGCCGGGGAGAAGGCAAGGCTTGTGGCAGTGCTGGAAATGCAGTGTCAGTGCTGACGCTCTGGAGACTCTGCTGCCAGCCCTTGTCATTGTTGTTTCAAGTCTTGGTCTGTTTGGTGTTTTTTCCCAAAGCCCCGTACCTTACCGGAGTGAACCAGAGGGGAAATTTCGTTCTCATGTCACACAAAATAGCCAAAGTTTCTAGGCCTTCCTGTTTCAGAGGACAATCTAAAAATGTTAGTCGAGTGTGACCTGCAGACTTGGAAACTGGCATGCAATTAAAACCAATCCAAACCTTTGAAAGGTCCTAATTTGTGGGTTTGCACATTTGGCATCAACAAAGTAAATGTTAAGACACATCTGCAATGTATACAGCTTCAATAACTGTGGGGTTCCTGTGTGCCCAGCTGCATTCCCAGCTTCGTGTCCTCAGGCACTTCTGTTCATACAGAAATTACAAAGCATCAAATAAACAAAGGCAGAAGAGCAAGCAACCTAGGGTAGGTGGCGGGAGGGTTAAGAAATGCATGAAGGGGCCGTTGGAAGGCTTAGCACAAAGTCTGTCATTTGGCAGCTTGTTTTACTGCTGTTTTTTTGAGCTGCCTTGCACCTCATTTTGACTAATAACTGTTAATAACTATTATTTGTAACTAAGCTCTTATTAAGCGCAGGGACCACCCTGTGTTCTGTAAGGAGAATAATGACCAGAGGTGCCAACAGCGCATTTTCCCCTTGTTTCCAAAGAGGAGGATCTTCCACATCTTTAAATGGTCCTCTGGAGCCTCTCCTTTCCCCGCTGCACGGAGCACTGCCCGGCTCTGAACAGCCTTTGCTGCTGGAGCTGAAAGGCTGCTCCTCAGCGTGGCAAGCACTGGTCCTTGGCCGCTGGGCTCGCCCTAGCCGGGACCCCTGAAGGGGCTGCAGGCGGCTTCCTCTGCACTGCAGATCCCACCAGGGTTAGAACAGAGCTTTGCAGCAAAGGCAACCGTGGTTTCAGATACAAACTCCTCTTTTAAAATCCCTACAGGTGAGTTTCCTGAAGAGGATATTGAATTTCTTGTAGCCAGGGGCCATCAAGTGGATAAAGTCAAAGTGGTGTCCCTAGTTCACGGGGCCAGGAGGACCAACAGTTTCATCATTGGCCTGAAGGACCCCAGGAGTGAGGATGCTGCCGGAGCCACAATCTTGTAGCACCCCCCAGGTGACGTGCTCGCTGAACAAGGCTCAGACAAATTGACCCAAGTGACATGCATGTTCGGGAATGGGCCCTTCGCCACCCCCGGGCGGGAGCTCCGCCTACACACCGCTGCGTAGACTTTCTGCATCCCCCACCCAGCGTGGCACCAGAGGGGTCAGCAGCACCAACATACAGTGCTCTGTGGGGTTTTTATTTTATCTGTAAATTATTTGAATTGCAAGCAGCCCAGTCCTTGCTACAGGAGTGCAGGGAGCACGCTTTTCTTTCAGCAGAGCCCTGCTAAGAATTTCAGTCTTTTCAAAAGCCCAGTTCTAGCCAGCACCTTCGTTGTAGTGAGCAGGAACAGCAGCAAAAGGAAAAAGAGCTGGATGACAATACTGTCCTCTTCGTCTCCCCCAAGTTCGTTCTTTGCCTCTCGTGTCAGCCAGTAATGAACACAGCCCACTGCAGTGTTTGTAGGTGCCCGTGGCTGGAATATCGGGGAGTCCTTTAACCCTCCCTGTGGGCCAGCTGACCTTTACCAGCATGCAGCCTCCTGTGTTGGTTCCTTTTCTCACATTGCTACAGACTGTGAATTTCAGGAGTAACTCGTGAGTGCAGTCGCTGCGCAGGCAGCCTGATTTTGTAACCGAAGCAGCCGTTTTCAGCTTCTCACAACTCGTGGAACCCCCAGTAGTTTTCTGACAGAGGTTCAGCGTCCTCCGTGGTGGGTTTAAGCTTAGTGGTAACGGGCGTAATTTTCTTAGACACTTTCTGGAGACACCTTAGCAGTGCTCCACAGCTTTGTAAAAAATCCACGGACCATGGACTGAAAACCACATGGCGAGGGTTTAGGTAGGTCCAGGGCTTTCCTTACACTGCCTTACCTCTGTGTGCTCTGGAAGCCCGAATCGTGTGATCCCTGCGGAGAGGCTTGGGACTTCCTGCTTGCCAAACTCATGCCTGTGCTTCAGCTCTGCATTTTGATGCTGGTGGCTCTATTGGAGGAGCTGAAGAGAGTGAGAGACAAGGCACGAACCAAACCAGACGCCACAGAGATAACTTTCTGTCCACAGCATGTAGCGCGAGATGTGAGAATGCCCCTGCATTCCTGGTCTGAAATAGAGTGAAGAAATAACACCACACCTGGTGGCTGCACCACTTCATCAGCCCCCACCTGGATGTTCCTGTCTCTTTTCCCCAGCAAGTTAGAGGGAGACACCTGGCGCTGAAAAATCCTGGAATTTGATTATTTTCTGCAGTCTAAAATTGGATGATTTCCTTCATGGTGCAGACGCATCTGTGGCCACTGTACATATTATATATGTATGTCTGCTGAGGATTGTCTTTCACCTGATGGTCACACCAGTCACCCCCAGCCCCTCTACTGAGGGACCCCATGACGCCCACCCCTTTGTCACGCGCCTTCTAGCACTCCTTGCCATTCAGCACGGGAAGCGTGCGGGTCGCCTGGGGGCAGCCAGAGCACCACGGCAGATAATCGGACAGATCGCTCCTGCCAGCTGAGGATCTCACGGCACCTTACGCGAAGCCTCGCATGTTGTGCCCAGGAAGGCCAGCAACTCTCTTGCACTCTGCTGAAGTGCAGGCACCCATGCGAAGAGCGCAGCAGCTGCCTGGCAGACGGGGAGAATGCTGGTGGTGTTTCCTCTTACAAATGCACCAGTGGCCTCAGCTGAGGGACGGGGGAGGTACAGTGCTACCTTTGGGAAGTTGCCTTTGGTGCCACATGCTGCCTGTGGGGCAAGAAGAGACTTTCCTCACTGCAGGGACCCAGAATCAATTTATTTATTTTTCCGTCATCAGCACTAGAGTTGGTCGCTGCCCAAAGTTGGAGCATTCACAGAACTTGTACGTGTCTTGGAGCAGACCTCTTCAGGCGTCACGGGAAGGGAAGGATGCGGCTTTGAGCGTTGAACCTTGCTGGTGGAGGCGTGGGGTTTTCTGGGTTGGTACAGCAGGGATCGGTCCCTCGGGCACGGAGGTTTGCTGTGCGCAGCTGCAAAATAAGTGGTCACCTCCTCGTTGCTTCAGTACGTTGCATGGAATATCACAAAGGACTTTGAAAGATAAAATTCCTCCTTACTAACTGAATTCACCAACTCACTTCTGACGCTGGAAATGGCATATTCGTTTGGGAGCTAAAGGCTCCGGTCTTGGTTCAGAAGGGCACTTGCATGCCCCGAGGTACCATTCCACAGCAATTTTTCAGAATCTTGAAACAACTCACGTTCCTAAGCGCTCTGCTGGATCATGGCCTATGCCGCAAAAATGAGAAAACGTAAAATAATTGGAAGATGGGGCTTGGGCCCCTAGGTCATGGCTAGGAGAAGTAGAGGTATTTTGAATTATTTCCCATTTTCTCTGTTTAAAACTGGCATCAGTATAGCACAGGTATATTCGATATGGGAACCCTTAATCTGCTAATTGGCCCAGTGTACCTGATGCTTTGGGTCCATCTGTTGTGATGAGGTCTGATGAATGTAATGTGAGGTACCAGAAACACCCAAAGCTTCCTTCTGTACAGCTGGGACGGGCGTCGTGAGGTAAAGGGCTGTATTCTGGAGATGTGTGTGTGCAGAGCGACCACACTGATTTCAGCCCAGCCGTTGCAGCCGTCTAACAGCTTTGAAGCAAAATTGGTCCCGAAGCCTTTACATGAAAGTGTCAGTGAGGAGCTCAGAACACAGAATGCAAAATACAAAGTGGCTGAGAAAACCAATAAATTTTCAAAGGAACAAAATAAACCCACACAAAATAAAGAGGAAAAAAACCCAACGATGCCTTTGCCAAACGTGACCGTTACAATCTGGAATGCGATGAGCTTGTCCCTGCCCATGCTTGCTCTGTGCCATCGCTGCGTGCTGGTTCTTACCTTAGGACAGGCCAGAGGCAGGCTCTGCTGCTGCGCGTGCGTCCGGTTTGTCAGCATTTCTCACAACGGCCCGATGCTGTTTGTGAGCACACACAACGAGCGATGCTTTGCTGGCTTTAGCTGCTGCTGCTCACCTGTGTGCATCAAGCGCTGACTGCTGCCTCTAAAAGCCTAAAGGGGGGACGAGGCAGAAGTCAGTGCCACCATCCTGCAGTGGGGGGGATGAGGACGCTCCAGCCCTTCAGCTGTGCCATTTCATTCCCATCACCGTCCTGTTTGGTGTCCAGATGCTGAGAGGGGCTGGATCCTGCCTCGCTCACACCGGTTGGGGAGGGGGCAGACACTGCTGAGGTTTTCAGGGCGGTTGGAGCCACACTGCAGCTTGGCCACAGGAAGGGCTGGGGGTCCCCTGCTGTGGGAAGGGATGTGAAACCAGCTGAAGGGCGGCCCTGGGCACGCTGGGTGTTTCTGCACTCCAGTGAGCAGCTCTGGCGGCAAGCCTACCTCCAGCCTGTGGGGTACCAGGGCTGCTGCAGGCGGGTTCAGGTCCCTAGGCTCCAGGGATGATGACCAGTGTCCTACAGCTCTGCTGCAGCTCTACCAGTGTCTCTCTGTGGGGTCCCTCAGCCGGGGCAGCGAGCCCAAGGCGGCTGTTCAGCACCAGCTGGTTGGCTGGCTGCCAGGGGGAGCCAGACCCTCGGGGTGGCTGCTGGGTCCCCCTGGCTGGGCCGTCTCGGAGCCTCCTTCCACCCGCCACACATCTCAACAGGCTTCTATGGACTGATCCCGGACACAGACTCGTTGGAGAGAAAAGGGACTCAGGCCTATATAAACACCATGGGATGAAACACATGAACACATCAAGAACACTGAAGATTTTGTAAGGTTTTGCCAAGAATCAGGCAGAGCAGGAAGAGCTCCTGTAGCATCCAGGTTTTGGAAAGATCTTCCCTGCTTCAGCAGTGGGCACCTGCACACCAGCCAGGGAAAGCAGGGTGCTGACAGGCAGAGCTGGTTTTCAGAGCGGCAGGGCACTGCCTGAAAATGCAGTCCATCTGTGTGGCGGGCAGAATAGCCATGGCACAGGAGCACTCAAGCACTGGAACACGCTGCTGAGGAAGGGTCCTTGGCGGCTGCGGCATTTGTAGATGCAGATTGTCCTCGCAGAGCTGACTCTGCTGCCTGGGGGGGAGTATCCCATTTGGCAGCAGCTACTTGGTGGCCGTGAGCCTTCATCCACCAGGACTGCCCCAGCACAGCCAGGGCTCCCTGCCCGGTGGCTCGCATCTCTCCACCTCCTGGGAGCCGAGGAGGAGCGGATGACCCCTGGGTGGTCGCCCCCACCCTACCTGTCACGTCTGCAGCCAGTTGCCCACCTCTCTCCTTGCTGCCACACTCACAGTTTAACAAAATCCCAGATCAAAAGTGACTGTGACTGCAGCGCAACTTCTCCCTAAGCGAGCATCATACTGGTATTAGGGGAGAAATTATTCAAGTAGTTGTGTACATTTAATTGGAGATATCTAAAGCTGGTCCTGAGTCCACCCACTTTTCCTGTGTGAAACCTCACCTTTCAAAATACTATCGTGTGAAAATGCATGTAAATACAACCGCAATGTTGATTGTCGTGACCTCGGGTGCGTTTCTCTGTTCTGTTTGTGGACAGCGGCGCGGCTCAGCCAGCTGTCTCTGCGTGCTGTGCGCCGCCCTCCTCCGCAGGCGACGTGGTGTTTGTGTGCATCACTTGTTTTGCAGCAAAGCTTCAGAATCCAAACCACAATGAGGGGCTGCTCATGGAGGGACTCCGCAAACACAGAATGATGGGACAGATCCAGCCCCCCCCCCAAAATCTCCCACCTTGGTTATGGCATACAGAGGCCAGGCGAGGCCTAGAAGCGCTCAAGCTAGGCAGCATGGATCCGAGCTGTGCAATGCCAGCCTCTGCTCTGGAGATCGCCCCCAGCACACCTTGCTGCAGGGACGTGCCCGCAGCAGGACGCTGTGGCAGTGGCGCTTGAGCTGTCGTGTTTCTTCCCCCTCACAGTCCTCCACACCATGTTATTCCCCCCTCGCCACTGCCCAGTGCTGGTCGGTCTCCTGCCACACATGCCGGCAACCAGTGAGCTGCACACCTTCCGCTAGCTGCAATCTGCAGGGCAGCAAACCCACCGCGGGTTCCTCCAGCCACCTGCCTGAGGCAGAGATGCCTCAGAAGGGTCCTCGGTGGCGTCCTGTCACCCTGGTGTGCCTTCAGCTCTGCCTTTCCTTTGCCTCCTTACCCTTGCGGCAAAGCTACTTTGAGGGAATGGGGATTAATTTTGATCATGCAGAGTTTGAGCCAGTTCGGGTCTTTCTCAGGAGTGAGCAGAAGCATAAGGCAAAGCCACCAGAAGCAGGGTGCTGCAGAGCGCCAAGTTGATGGATGGGGCACTGAGCTGCTGATGAGGGAAGGGCTCATTTGCACTCCATGCGTGCATAGGCCCAGGAAGGTTGCCCGTGTGGGCCCTCTTGAGCCTGGATCAGAAAGTCACTGGGATCCCTCAATGCCATGCTTCCAGAAAGCCTGGCTTTTGACAAACAGCGTTCTGCTTGTGCTCGTTTGCGATGGCGCACGGGCTGTGCCCTGTGTTAACGTAGGTAACACGGACAAACCCGAGCCACCAAAACCCCCGAAGGACAATACCGCAAGACAAGCACAGCGGCATCGCTGGGAAACATGGGGGCTTTTTAGAAGCAGCGCTCTGATTGAGCTGCACCAGGGTGGGAAATGCAGGAGCTTTCTGGGGGAGGCCAGGCTGGAGGAGGAGGAGGAGGGTAACTGCAGCAGGGTTAAGGAATGTTTCCCGAAAGCATGGAGGCGAGAAGGGCAACCCTTGGGGACTGAAGAGGGCTCCTCTCGCTTCCAGCCTGCCTCAAAAGGCAGGAGCAGAGCACAGCAATGCGCAGGGAATGTCCAGGCGAAGGCAAGCAGAACCCCCCACAGGCATTGGGTGCCGGGAGCATCCCCCTGCACCACCCCTGTGACTGACGCCTGTCTCTTCTAGCACCTCCGGGGGTTCCCCGGGGCTTGGGGCAGGCGGGGGCGGGGTGTGTGTGTGCTGGGGAGGGTGTGTGTCCCTGTCCTAGCAGCCGGGGAGGACACAAGGAGAAGGGGGCATGAGCAGATTGATCCCTCAGCTACGAATTACACCGTGCTTGTCTGCTGGCTGGGAGCTTTGGCACCGGAAACGCGATGGAGGCAGCCAGCAACCCGCCCGCAGCGCTCCCCACGCCAGCAGCGTTTGGTTATTGCGTCGTACGCTTCCCCCCACATTCATGATTTTGGTGTCTGGATTTGGTTTTTTTTATGGAATACATTTATATGTCAATTTTTGTTCCGTGCAGCAAGCTATCGTGACAAATGAGACGTGGGGTTATTGGACATAAAAGGTTTTGCAATATAAAAGAAGCCCCCCCCGTTTTCCTCATTTCATGCCATTTATCCGCAGTAACCTGCACCACGGCGATGCCGGGGGCTCTGCGAGGGCCTGCACCTCCCGGCACCGGCGGAACCCACGCGAGGGGCCAATGTTAATCGCACGTGGGCTTGCGGGACCAAAGTCTTTGTTTTTCCCACAAAGGACTTTTTTTACCAGCCCGAAGCAGCCGCCGCCGCGCGTTTCGGTTCTTTCCCCCCTCCAGGGAACGGCTTTCCGCTCAAAGCGGTGACCGGCAGGAGGAAAAACCCAGCTCTTCCTGCCGCGCCG